TTTTTAGTTAATATTTTGGTCTTGTCTTTATTAATTTTTAACCCTGCCACCCTGCCAAATTTCTCTATCTCCTCCGTTAATTTTGTGTTTCTAGTGGATCCTCTATGAAGAATACAAGGTCATCAGCAAAAGCTTGGACCTTGTATTCTTCCCCTTTTACTTTAAATCCTTTTATATTTTTATTTAATCTAATTCTTCTAAGCAAATTCTCCAGGGTTAAAATGAAGAGTAAAGGTGAAAGTGAGCACCCTTGTCGTACTCCTCTATTTATTTCAAAAAAATCTGTTAATTCCCCATTCACTATTATTTTTGCCTTCTATTTTGTGTATATTGTAGCTATTATATTTTCAAATTTCTCCCCAAATTTCATGTTTTTCATCTGTTGTGTCATGAATGTCCAATTGACCCGATCAAATGCTTTTTGTGCATCCAGAAAAATCAGCACAGCCTGTTTCTCTGGATGCACCTCATAGTATTCTATTATATTAATCACCATCCTTAGATTATTTTTAATTTGTCTTGTCGGCAAGAATCCGTTCTGGTCCGAGTGTATTCTACTGTTTAATATTATTTTTAATCTATTTGCCATTAGGTTCATAAAAATCTTATAATTGGTATTTAGTAAAGAGATCGGTCTGTAATTTCTAATTTGTGTGGTATCTGCCCCTTCTTTTGGAATTAACGAAATGTGTGCTTCCTTCCAAGATTCTGGTATCTTTGCCTCTTTTAATGCCTCATTGTAATGCCTCCAATAATATCCAATTTAATGATTCTCCTAGTCCTTTATATAATTCTATTGGTAAGCCATCTGTTCCTGGGGTTTTATTATTTTTTTGTTTCCTAATTGTTTCCTGTAATTCCTCCATAGTAATCTCCCTATTTAACATCTTTTTTTCTTCTTCCGTTATCACGGGCATTTCCTCCTCTTTTAAATATTGGTCTACTTCTTCTACTTCCACCTTATCCTGTGTATATAAATCTTGAAAGAATTGGATTGCTATCTCTTTCTTCTTTTCCGGGCTCTGTTGTAGTTTGCCTTCATTATCCTGTAATTGATGGATCGTTCGTTTTTCTCTCTCTTTTCTTAATTTATAAGCCATCCACCTCCCTGGTTTATTTGCCTGCTCGAATTGATTTTGTCTTATGAATTTCAATGCATTGGCATATTTTTCTTGCTCAAATATATTCAATTTGTGTTTGGCTGTCATCCAGCTCACTCTTACTTGTTCGTCTCCTGGTCTTTCCTGTAATTTCTCTTCCCAATTTTTAATCTCTTCATAAATTCTATTATATTCCTTTTCCCTCTCCTTTTTCCTTTTACTATTGTAGGCTAGTGTTAGGCCTCTAATGTAAGCTTTAGTTGTGTCCCACAAATTTTGTTATCCTTGAAGAACCATTTCAGTTCTTCTTCTATTCTTTCCATATATTCTTTTTCTTTCATTACCTGTGTATTCATCATCCATCTACTTTTCCCCTTTCTCCATCCTCTCCATTCTATTATTAATGGGTTGTGGTCAGCCCAGTCATTAGTCCGTATCTCTACTGATTGAATCTCCTGTGTTAAGATCTTCGTAGCCCATACCATATCTATCCTTGACCAGGATTTATGAGGGTTGGAGTAATATGTATATTTTTCCTTTTTTGGGTTGTATAGTCTCCAGATATCTACTAAATTTAGTTCTTCTATAAGAGATAAAAATGTTTTCGGCAGCAAATTCTTCTTATTTTTTAAAATCTGATTACTTCTATAGTCTTTTTTTGGGTCCACAATAGCATTAAGATTGCCTAACAGACATACATTTTCTATATTTTGTTCTATTATTTTTTCATGCAGTTTTTGGTAAAATTCTTTTTGCTCACTGTTTGGTGCATATACTACAACTAACAACACATTTTTGCCTTTAAGATTAACTTCAATCATCAAAGTTCTTCCTATTCTATCTACATATTTCAATTTACTTTCTATCTCTTCTTTAACATACACTGCTATACCTTTTTTCTTTTCATCTGTTAATGATACATATAGTTTCCCTAGTTTTTTACATTGCAGGTATCTTTCTTCCTGTTTTCTTATATGGATTTCTTGAAGGTACACAATATCTGCTTTTTGTTTAATTAATTTCCTGAATGTTTGGTTTCTTTTGACAGGAGAGTTAAGTCCGTTTATATTTAGTGATATAATTTTCAGATTTCGGTCCATTTTTTAAAAGTTGTTCTTGTTCCTTTTTATTCCTTTACTTCCGTCTCTTTTCTTAGCTTGATTTTGTAACACTGTAGCACAATTAGAAATGGAAAGAGCGGCATTCTGTCTAAGTTTTCAAAACGTAAGAGAAGAGAGAGATGAGGATCTGACACTAGTAATGGTCGAAATGATAGCTGAAATTTTGCAATGAGATAAAGATGAAATTATCAACGAAATAGATGAAGTGTTCAGAATAAATACTAACTATGCGAGACAACATAGACTCCCAAGAGAGGTCCACATATGATTTGTGAGAAAAAAGGTCAGAGAATTGTTTTCAAAATAGCTAAAGAAGAACCTATATATTATAAACAAAAAGAGATAATAACATTACAACAAATACCAAAAAGAATTAGAGAGTGGAGGAAAGATTATGGATTCCTCACTGCACTATTAAACAGAAAACAAATATTATTTCGATGGTTAATGCCGGAAGGAGTACTAGCCACGTGGAAGGGGAAAAAGATAAAAAGTTGACACTATTGAAAAGGCACAAAATTTATATGACCAGGTGATAGAACTAGAAGGAACGGATGGCAGTGGAGAAGAGGCGGGAAGGAGAGTTAAATCAACATTAAGACGAGAAGATCAAGCGACTTCACATGAAGAGAACAGTCAAGAGAAAGAAAAAGAGGAAAATTGGAAGTGTCTTGGCGACGTTTCGACGAAGTCTCATTCATCATCTTCAGGCTGGTGTTTTCGGCTTCGTGCTTCTAGGAGCAATGTGTGATCGCAGCTGTTTCTTCCTTTTAATTGCCAGTGGGGGTGTGAACTGATTGGGTGGGAGCTTGGCTGTGTTCTGATTGGATGGGGGTTGGCTGTGCTCTGATTGGATGGGGGTGTGTTCTGTTTGGGTGGGGGCTTGGTTGTGCTCGGGTTAGTCTAAGTTGCAGAGGGAGTTGAGCTGGTGAGCTATGTTGCTGTTGTTTGGCTTCACATTCGTGGTCATGCCACATCTTCATGGTGGGTGTCAGTTTGCTTCATGTATGGATTGGAGGGGTTTAAAGTGACTAATGATGCAGCTGTGGTCTGGCTTCTGGTTTGTGGTCGTGCCTCATCATCGGTGTGGGTTTTGGTTTGCTTTTTGCATGGATGTGTGGTACACATCCGTGTGTGTGTGTGTGTGTGTGTGTGTGTGTGCAAGTTTTGGTGTATTCGGGTCTTTTCCTGTGTAAGATTGAGTGTATCTTGGCGATGTTTCAACGAGGTCCCACTTGTCATCTTCAGGCTGGTGTCTTTGGCTTCGTGCTTGTGCAAGGAAAGCGTGATCGGAGCTGCCGTCTCTCTATAAATACTGGTGGGGAGGTGTGGGGTGCTGGCTTTGTTGCTGTGAGCGGGTTGGTTGCCTGTGTTGTTACATCTTGATGAGTTGATGTTTGCAGATTAGTCAACTGTTTCGTAACATCCTGTGTGGGTGAGGTCTTTGATGTGTGCCCATTAGTCTTTTGTATTTTAACGACCTGGGTAATGGGTAATATATATATATATTCACCTCCTTTTTAATGTTTATATTAATTTTATTGAGATTATCATAATATAAAATACAAATGAAAATAAAGGTAGTAAGGAAGTGGGGAGTGAAAAGAAAGGGAATAGAAAGGTGTGGAATAAGGGGAAAAAAGAAAAGTAAATATTGGCTTCCATCTTTTTTCAGCACAGTAAAATACAAATAGAATTATGGGCTCAAATTTTTACTTTTACGTTCTTAGTAACTATTAGCCATTTCTATAACATTTTCATGCTTCTGATGCTCTGGGGTGAAGCCTTAGTCAATTCTACTGTAATATAAATATCCAATTTTGATTAATCAAATAGATGCTTCCCAAGGTAATCTGCTTACAGAATAAAGGACTGTCCAATGGATGTTTAGAGAAGATCAGATGTCTCAGCTTACATTAAAGTGCCAGGCAAGGGAGGGGGGGGGGAGGAACCATGAAGAATTCAAAGGGAAGGGCCATGTGGCTTTATGTGTAAAGCAACCCAGCCTGGAAGGAATCTGAAGGGTGTGGTGCCCAAATGGAGGGGGGCTGGACAGGAAAATTCTATCTCCAGCATTTTTAAAATTTTGCTCCAAGGCAAATTGTTTGTGAAAACGTCCCTTTTGATTTCATTATCCAAATAATTCCAGCTTGAATTGGAACTCAGCTATTAATCTGATAATGACATGGCTGAGACGAAGGTATTCTTTGCCGATTGATCTCAAGTGACTTGCAAAGCATTACTCTACCTCTCTGTCTGCATTCCATTTCAGCCGGGAGTTTTGTCAGCATTTCACACACTCACTCACTCGCACACAGCCCACCCCCCTGAAATGTAAGTATTAAGATGATTACAATGTACCTGGAAATATCCTTTAATTTTAATTTTCTTCTATTTTATTTTTAGCTTCAAAGCTTTTCCAGGAATGAACACCTGCCTTTAGAAGCTTTAGAAGAAATTGTCAGGTACCAAAGATTCTTTGTTGCCCAAGTCCACTGAAAAAGGACATTAGGGAACACACGTCATGTTTTCACTCCTGATCAAAGTGAAGGGATACAGTATCTGTAAATTTGGGTCTGATGTTGTCACCCTTGCAATATTGAGATTATCCTAAGAAAAACATCCCTTTGATCAAACTCGGATCACTAGTGTTATGTAGCCCCTTTCTCCAGTGATCTAAATTTCCCCACCTAATAACATACTTAACATATATTAAAATAGCAAACATACCTGAAGATGGTGAATAGATAGGATAGGGCCAGGGATGGGTTCTACTTACCTCCGCTACCGGTGTGCAATGGGAGCGCCTGCGCTTCTGCACATGTGCAGATCGTTCGTGATGACGTCTGGGTGGGTAGGCGGAGCCTCCCGCCATCGTTACTACCAGTTCGCAAGAACTGGACTGAATCAGGAGCAACCCACCACTGGATAGGGCCTTTTCAGTCATAATGCCCTCTCTATATTGTGTGCCTTCTTGTCATCCTCTATGTCAGTGGTTTTCAACCATGGCAACTTTAAGATGTGTGGACTTCAACTCACAGAATTCCCCAGCCAATATGGCTGACTGGGGAATTCTGGGAACTGAAGTTCCACATATCTTAAATTTGCCAAGGTTGGGAAGCGCTGTTCTATGTAGCTGTTTCAATCTCGCCTCAATATTATTTTTTTTCTGAAGTGTGTTTATCATAAATAATAATTAACATTGTCTTTATTACTCTTATTGACATAACATTTTGCTTATTATTCACCTTATAGGGCAAGAAGAAAGGATATAAAGCATTACACCGTCCTGTAATCACTAATTTATTTTTGAGCAGCTATGCATAGTGTTCCGCTTTTAAATACATAAAATAGAACACTCCTTATTTAGCTTTTCAGCCAAGCTACATACTCAGCATATTTGTGCAACTGGCTACTGTTGGACTGTACCACTTTATTTAACTTTTGTACAAGAACAAAGATTTCACTACTTCCCATTTAGAACTTAATTTTTTAAAAAAATCTTATTAAAATGGTGGATTGTGGAGAAGTCTATTGTATACAAAATTCAATCATATTGAAGACCATCCAACTTTTTACCCAATCATTTTTATCGATGATCTACAATTTGAATTACTTAATTACAATTAAGTATTGTAGTTGAATACTTACATTTGTACAATTGAATTACAATTAGTTACTATTAAAAATTGTTTTAAAAAAACATGAAAACGATGAAGTGTTTCATGTTAGAAAATAAAGCCAATATTCAGGTTCAGACATTCTGAAAATCGTTAACAAGATAAAATTATTCTGCTTGTCAAATAAAGAATAAGGGATGAGATGAGCCACAACTTTTTTTTTTAAGCCTAAATCCTTTTGGGCAATGAGTTGGCATTGATTGACAGAGCAATGTACAGTACTTGTCTATTTACTGCATGGTTTGACACACAGGTTCTGCAGTTGATAGTGACAATATAAACTTAAAGAGAGAAAAGAATATTATTCTATTTGAAGAAAAATATCAGGCTAAATGTTATTTTGTATGCATTAAGTAGACTTATATGAGACATCCCAAATTAGCAAAAGGAAGCATATTGAACTTGCATCCTGCAAGATAATGCATTGTCTTGCAGGATACAGGATGAAATTCTAATAGGTTCAATAGAACAGTGTTTCTTACCTAGGTACCAATCTGATGGATTGGTCTTCACTTCTCAAGACCTTAGCCATCATGGTTTGTTAATCTTAGGGGATAACAAAGAAATGAAAATCCCATAATTCAGCATTTTCTTTCAGTATTTAAGGTTGATAACACCCATAGATCTAATGAGGGCACCCAGAGCAATAGTTTTCCATCACATCATTATGTTCATATTCCAGAATGTTCCACATTCATCCTGGAATGTTCTCCACAAATAATTTCAGGCTACTGCTTTTAGGTCACAACGAAGATAATTTTAATTTCTCTGACTTCTATTATTGATCAGAATTAGCAACTCTGATCATTGCTCCAAAATGGATTAGGGTTGTTGTTGTTTTTTTGAGCTGTTCGATAATTTCTCATAGTTTATCAATCATTAGGATAAAACTGTGATTTAACTGACTATAACTATAAACAGTTCTGAATTCTTTTAGCAAATAAGTGGCCTAGGATTGTCATAAATTATAATCCCATGAGAATCAGTATTTTCAAAGAACTTCTGTCTCCTTCTCCTTTTAAACTCACACCTTGCTGCTGTATGAGAAATCTTGGGGAAATCTTGAATAATGAATTGTGGACTGAAGAAAAATGGAGACAAATATGAATGAGGCCATGTGAAGGAGCAATGTAGACAACAAAAAGGACAGCTGGCCCAGGGAAGTAAAGTGATTACTATAAGGGTATATACATTTCTCTGGATATCAGAAAAAGTCTCTCTGGTGACTATGGATGGCAGCGAAGGGTGGAGCAACAAGGAAAATTGATCAATGAACCAAGGATAAGCTTTTATTATTTAGCTTCCTCCACCCACTTCTCTTTCCCCGTGTTCAGCAGCAGATGCATCTGGCCACTCTGTGCATCTCAGTCTCAGAACCTGTGGGACCCTCAAGCATCTTTCATCAGTCTGGTGGTGTCATACATAAATCATGACTCTCCTACACATCCACTATTTCACGTTATACAATCTCTTGTCTCCAACGCACTTATTTTTTAAATCATTTGCCCTTAGAGGGTTTAAGAACCAATAATTCCCTCCTTTAAAATATACTGTTGAATGTCTTAGATGAATAAATGCACTGGTTAGAAAATACCTAATCCCTTCTATATACCCTTGATACCAATGTACATGGGCGTATAAATATGTTTATACATTAACATACATAGACACAATACTGCTTGTCTGATGATATTTAATATAGAGGTTCATGTTCAAAATGCATAGATATGCAGAAGAGTGAAATATATGTGTGAAAATAATATGTAAATAATCATCATATATCTGTTTTAGCATCGGACTTTTATCAACTTGTTCTATAACTAGACAGCAATAGTGCCTCATACACAACTGATCTGTATCTTATCAACAATGTTCAGGGGAATTAAATGTAACATCTAACACTCCAGATAAGTAACTCACAAGGGTGAAATTATATATGGAATAAATGAACAACAAGAGCTAAAAAAATTGAAATAGAATGACATATTCTCATAGAGCTGCAATTATATGAAATGAGAAAATTTGATATTAGAAGTCATATATATTGAGGTATCATAGACCAATTGACCAAGGAGGAAAAGTGGAAAAATATGTTTTTCAGTGGCCTGTTTGGAAGCATAAAACAATTCTTTCAAGATGATTCCAGAAGGCAAAACATTTCCTCTACAGTTCAAGAATTTTTTTTCCAAAATGCTACAAAAATCCTTTTATTATGTTTTACTGTCATACTATACTATGGAAATATACTATGCTAGGTATGTTTCCATAGTATAGTATAGTATAGTATAGTATGGAAATCTCATTGTACTAAAGTATGTTTTCAATCCAACAATGTTTATAAAAAAGAAATAACATTTGTTAGTCTGAAAAGTTGCTACTAAACTCCTTGTGATTTCTAGCTACCATAGACTAACATGGTTCTCCTCCTACAATATTGTAACATGAAGATTTGCAAACTTTGCTCTATTTATTTATTTGCTATCCTAACATTCCTCCCATATTTTTATCTTTAGGGTGCTCAACGTTTTCTTTCCAAGGAATTAGACTCAGAAAAGGCATCTCTTGATCTGTTAGACAAGGGAAAATGCATCTGTAATGTCAATTTGACTATCATAGACTTCTTTGTACCTTAACTTGGGAGAGAACACAGGATTTGCAGATTGTTCTTAAGCAGAAAAATAGTTTTGAATCTTAAACTAAAGGCCAAGAAAGTTTAACTGAAAGGAACAATAAAGAAGCGTTAAATTTCAAATTTAAACCATGATTATTTTTAGCCATTTTAGCATAACACAAATGCTACAGATCTATAAAATTAGCACAACAGTTGTATTTACTGCACTGAAGACACTATAAAAGCCAAGAGCATTTTTTAAACTTTTAAAATACTGAACAGTTGCCCAGAAATATAAAGGTTCCTTCTCAAAGTGATCCTCTTACCATCTCCCAAGAAACAGTATTTCACAACCAGCAGAAGCAATTAAAGCTATTTTCCAAAGCACCTGAGGATAGGACAAGAAGCAATGGGTGGAAACTAATCAAGGAGAGAAGCAATTTAGAACTAAGGAGAAATTTCCTGACAGTTAGAACAATTAATCAGTGGAACCACTTGCCTCCAGAAGTTGTGAATGTTCCAACATTGGAAGTTTTTAAGAAGATGTTGGATAACCATTTGTCTGAACTGGTGTAGGGTTTCCTGCCTAAGCAGGAGGTTGGACTAGAAGACCTCCAAGATCCCTTCCAACTCTATTATTCTATTCTATTCTAGAACACACTGAAACTGTTCTGTCTCTCTCCCTCCCTCCCTCTCATTTTGTCTACCTATACTGTGGCCCAGACTACATTTGCACTATACACAACAATGTGCGGCATGTCAGTAGATTTTGCACATAAAGGCTCTTGGGCAAGAAGACAATGGTTCCAATCTAGATTGGACCATCAATGTGGGTGTGTAATTTTCTGTGTGTGTGTCTTTGTGTTTGTGTGTGTCTATGTGTGTATGTACGTCTTCAAGTCATTTAGCGGGTTTCATGTCTAAGACAAGATTAGAATTTACTGTCTGCCTACTTTTAGTCTAGTACCTTTATTTATTTACTTACTTACTCACACATAGAGATTATATGGCCATAGATCTTACATACTAATCCAGTGACTTTATATAATAAAATCACTGCCACATTCAACAGGCACCATATAAAACCACACAAAGAACAGCACACATTCTGCTAGAGAGAAGTTCCCTGAAGATGGGGTCCAGCACGAGTCTGAAAGCTTGGAAGACAAAAACTCTGGCCCCTGTGACCAGCCCAAATTAGATTCTGCAACATTATCTTTGGACACATTTATTCGCCTTCATTTACAATAAAATCTCTAATCACAAAATGCAAAACAACTTAAAACAGCCATAATACAATAACCAAGGTACCATAATCACTATACCAAAGCGACTCCAATCAGACAAATAGCAATAAAGAAAATATCTACGGATTATTTTGATTCTACATATCATTCCTGGGCAGAAATGTTCCTTCCTCACAGACAAAGGAAACATAGGTTGAAATGACAATTTTCCTTATCCATAACCAGTTGGTGGAGACCCTCTTCTATTCTCAGCAGATTTGAAACATGCTGATTGCAGATAGCAATAGCAATAGTACTTAGACTTATACAGCGCTTCATGGTGATTTACAGCCCTCTCTAAGCAGTTTACAGAGTCAGCATATTGCCCCCCAACAATCTGGGT